ATCAATGCTGCATCGTAAATATGATGGTAAACAGAAGTAATTTGCTCAATTACTCAAAATAAAGATGATTTGTCATCTTGTTATCACTTTGAAGACCATCTAGCACCATTTTATAGTATGGTGCGTGTTGAGAAAATCAAATTCCGGTTCGTTTTCCGTCGAAAATTGTGAGTATCAATATGTTTGCTTAAAAAAGGCCAAAATGAACATTTATTGAATATTGGCGTCCTATACAACCAATTCTCTATTACCACCAGCATGATACAACCTTTCCTAAGTAAATTCACTTAATTTCCACTTTCATCTTAGTGAAAATCGCACATATTCACCATTTTCCAAAAAATACAGCTGCGCAGAAGGTAACCTCTCCCTGTGGATGCAAACTTGTTATGCATAATTTGCCATGAAAACATCTCCGATCCATACCGAAATAGTAACAAATAGTTTTCAAACACGTTTTCTTACACGATTCAAGCAAAAGTTTCCACGGGAAATTATTGGTTTTTCTTTATGGACCGATTTGCCCCAAAAAGCGTCTGTTTCACTTGGAAAATTTGGAAACTATCCTCCTTCTAGTAGTTCTCACTTCGAAATGTAGGTGGCGAAAGCTTGGAAAAGTTTCACTGCAAGACGCCAACCGTGTAGGGTTCACTTCAGAGAAATGCTACGCTCGGCTCATTTCAAACTCGCGAGCGAGGCTCCATCAAGCCTGGTTGCAACTCGTTTTCTTAGAAAGAAAGGGTATAATAATGCTATCTCTTTTATCTCTTCGCCGATGGCAGACACGCAGCGACTGCTCCCAGCCGTTATGGAAGTTTCGGTTGCGTTCGGGTGTAAAGCCAAAATCATGAAACTCAATCTCACCACAGCTTGGTGAGATTTGCAGCTGGTGAGTTTTGTTAGCTTTATATTCTGAACTGTGATACCATAGTTTGCAATATCAACCGCAGTTGTTTGCATGTTGATTTTTGATCTTGCTCTTTGGTGAGATTTGATTTTTTTTATATTTTCCCAACACTGTTGGTCAAGCTTGCAATATGCTATTTTTCGGATTTTTGAAGTTATGAGATATATCAATGATAATTCTTGTCTACAACATCCAAGAAGAGAAGGTAAAGTGTGTGTATGCCACATAAAACCTGTCAATTTAGCTTTCAGAGGATCACAATAGTGATTAGCTTTAACGATGAGCAACGCGATGAGCGAGCAATCAGTGATCATAAAATCGCTTGTTGTGACCTTCTGAAAGCAAAATTGACAAATTTTATATGTCATACACAAACTCTAGTATCTCTTCTTGGTTCTTATAAATAAAAATTATCATTATATAGTATCTTTTAGTTTCATAATTACGAAAAATAGCATTTTAGCTGTACTGAGCAATTGCAAGCCTGCTGGGAGTTCATGTAACGAAAATCTACATTTTAGTTGAAAACTGACTACATTATTTTAAAACGCACTATCTCAGAAACGGCACATTTTACTTTGGATTTATGAGTGTTATATACTGAAAACAAGTCTGTAAAACGCGATTTCGCCGAGGAACCTATAAAAAATTACATTTATTTAGTAAAAAATGCGTTACTTTATTACTTTTGCAAAAATGTCAGTTGGCAACATTGCCAAAAATAAACAATATATTTCAGATTTCTCGCAAAATTCCAAGCTGAAATTAGTCGCTAACATTTGCTGTAGCTCAATTTGGCACGGAGATAAGATGGAGAAACGAGTAAATTCCATTCACTTTGAATCAAATACAAAGGGGTCGAATTCAGATCTGCATATTCTTCTGATCACTTGGCGTGGAATGACCCATATTGTTTATTGTATATTACTCAATGCCCAGGGAAGTTGAAAAAAATTCCAACTCAAAAGATTTGCTCGACTAGGATTTGTAATACCGTCCCTTTAATGATTAGATAGAATCAGCGAATCCAAACGCAACTAACGATAAAGACAAAACGCTTGCTACTACTACCACGATAAACTCTATCTGTAATATAGTTTGATCGGAGTTGTAGAAGGATTTTTCGGCGCCACTGTTGTAGAAGAAAAATGATATATTGCTGCTGTGTTTCAATTTACACGGTTGAGGACATAGCTTGATCGGAATCGAAAAAAGACATAACCAGTGCTGAGATTTGTCATTGTCATTGACAGACTTTCTCGCGATATTGACAAAATTGTTCGTCACATAGTCACTGACAGACTTGATCTTCAAAAAAACCTTCGTCAAAATCTCATTAATTTTTTCGTCAATGACAAAGATTCACCTGGTAACAAAAAGTGTAATTTAGTACATTCTGTGTCACATTAATGTTATCCAAGCAGTTCAGGACGTAGATGCTTGTTCACATTAACGACTCCATGTAATTGTGTTGCCCAAATCATTTAATTTCGTTACTAATTTAGTTAATAAACAAATCTGCACATGTTCGTCACTGACACCATTGTCATTGACAATTGACATGGTTTGCCTTGACTATGACTGTTGGCTCAAATGAGTGACCAAAGCAGAATTGTCAATATCACCGTGTACTGTCGAGATTTTGCAGCACTGGACATAACAAAGAAAATCCCATATAGATGGGTGTATCATCTTCGGCGTTACTTCATAAAGCAGCTTGCCAACAATTTGATCGTTTCCTTCTACCGGCCCGAGTGAGGTATAGGGTGGGTGAGCCAGTAGTGGAGGTACGAAGCCAATTTATTAATTAAACAATAAATATACGATGTACACACAATTGTTATTCGTCAATCTATAGCTTACAACCTCTATTTTGATAGAAAAATATTACACTGAAATAAAATTGCATACAATTTTAGAAAACTCATCCTCCATTAATAGGAACACTGTTCCAGTAGTTGTGGTAGTTGCTAACTTTGGTTCCTATAATAGTGTATGTGTTATACTATTATAGAAACACTACTGCAACTATAGGTGCAAAGGAGTGAAAATCTTAAGGAAAATGAATGATTTTCCGTAATTTTTGGGCTAATTATAAGTTTGAAATATGCAAATATGCTTTATTTTAGGACAGCTACCGATGAAAAATAATCTTATCCGGGTACTCCTTACTATTCCGACACAACCTATATTCGTAACTATAGGTACACTACTATTACTGGAACATCACCCTACTTCAAAGGCAGTTTGTCGTGAAAAACAAGGGAAGAAGATTATATCATTATTGCTTTCCATTGCTGACATAGCGTTATCTTTCGGCTCGTTGATCGCTTGTCATTTTGTCATTTTGAGATATTTTTGATTTCTTGGATAGAATACTAGATTGTTGGGCTGGACTAGATTTTCAGGATAAATCACGTTGAAGAACTATTAAGAGAATTAACAACATAACACCAAGATAGCTCAAAGAATATTGAGAAAAATTCAGAGAGTTTTGACAATTTGATTGTGTGAATTTAGAAAATATTTTGTATGAAGTTCTGTGGAAAATCCCATGACAATGAAGAGGATTCCATGATTCACGAAAAATAACAAGGAAATCGAATTCCAAAGGAGATCTGAGAAGTGTTTTAATAGGTCTCCAAGGACATCACGAGAAGAATTTCTAGAGAATTATAAGGAATTTTTCAAGTGAGTTTTCTGAAGAGTTTAGAGGATAATCCCAGATAATGCTGAGAAAAATTTCGAAACAATTCCGAGGTGAATAGCATGAAAAATCTAATGAAAATTTTCAACGAATTTTCAGTAGAATTATTGAATTAAGCTTCTTGGAATAGTAATTCAAAATTCGAATAGAATCTTAGGATGAATTTTGTCAAGTGTTCTGCAGAAAATGTATGGTGCCTTTTATAAATAAATCAAGGGACTATTCTAGAGGAATTAAGAGAAGAACTCTGTGAACGGGAATGATTCTAATGAAAATTCTTGAGAACATACGAAAAAAAAAGTCGAGAGTTCTGAGCTTATTTGCATGGAAGTTAAACATAGATAAGTTTTGAAGACTGAACGCAGAAAGAAATTTAAGATCCTGGACAAATTCTGCAGTCTTTAAGTACCAAGTTGACTCATTTAACCCTGGGTACTGCGAACACAGCCGTTTTTGTTTTGCAAGTCAGCAGGAAACAACTTGAAATTGTTCCGATATCACAAATTGTTTTGCTCACAATTTGCATATACATGCTGTCGAAAGTTCACCCTTTGCTCCATAAATAACGTGTACGTGGTGTTGAGAGTGCACCTACCCACATGACTCTTATAAAGTTTGTTTGCATTCTTCCTTCAGCAGTTCGTGCAGGTTCGTTCGTTCGTTACATTGTTTACATCCGAGTATTTGAGCAAGTTTTTTGTTGAAGAATATTAGTAAAAAAATGCCGAAATAACAATATTTTCAACATTGACCACAATACTTTCTCTGCCGACGGGGAATGTATGAGAAAAGTATCACTTTTAGCAGCTCTAGATCGTTGGATTCTTTTTGACAACCATTTTGTATTTCTCCGCACCACTCAGATTTAACCTAATGTTCCCTTCGCTTAAATCGCATTTGATTTTATTATTAATTTAAATTTCACAACCGGATTTTTTTTTAATTTCTGGAAAAAAATGGGAATATGTTAAACGGGATTTGCTGGTCATCATGTGTTTATGAAACTATTAAAAATATTTGCTTTACATGTGAATCGGATGGATTCTCGCTCCAAAAGAAAAGCCGGCAGCATTGACCTGCTAAGACAAGTGATAAGAAAGTGGTCTACAAGATTAAGCAAGAAGAAGTAAAATCTGACAATGGAACAAAGTTGAACTTTTGTTTACTATGGTTATTCATAGAATTTAATCGCAAGAAGAGAAAATTTCGTTGAAAATAAAAACATTCACATTCGGAATGATATCAGAGTGATAACTATATATCATGTGCTTCGGGAGATTAGATTGCATCCTGTCGTAGATTTTCTATTATACAGATGAAAATAGAACCAATAACAAACAAACGCAGCGATAACAGTCAACAGCAAATCAAACAAATCTGACTCACCATCTCTCAAATCACCCGCTTCGATTTCCGACACCTCGTTGGCCAAGCAATCCAGTCCTTCGTTCTCCGAGCGCGCTTTCGTACCGCCATAGGATGAATCATTTGCATTCTTCGCACGCCATCCGTATCGGCTAAAGTTGTTCAGATTCGCACTGGGATCGCTCAGCCGTCGCTGGTGCCGGTAGTTGTAGTATTCGTCGCAGTCTTCCTCCCACTCTGAGTCCCACATGTCCGTGGCGCAGAACCTACAATGGTCAATAGATCAGTTCCGTTATAAATCGCAAAAACGGACGCTAACTGCACATACCCGGGTTCGCTGGTTGGAGTTTCTACCCCGGAGCCTTTCGGTTTGGTTACAGCCATTTCGGCGTGACCCTTACCCTGAGGTCCTTTCATCCTCACGAACTCGCACCGAGTCTGTGGTCCCCCGGAGCTGAACAAACCGAAAGACATGCGTTGTGCCACCTTAGAACTAAGACTAGATTGCTGTAACCGAAAAAAATACATGTTTACTACAGGCACACCTACACAACCCATCGCAGAAACTCACCCTGGCATCGTAGACCTTCTTCAGTGCATCGTACCGAATCGATCCGAGAAATATCACACCTTGAACGCTACCGTCCCTATCGGTAGCCACCAGCTCCACGCAAACCATCTCCCCGTCCCGAACGAGAATATCGTGGAAAACCTCGTCGAAATTGTCCACCATGAAGCAAATGTGCGGATAGGTAATTTCCTCGCTTTCCCCCTTGGTGTCCATCTTCCTTCGACTAGGCGAAGCGTAGACCTTCTGCGAGTGCCGTCGAAGCACCTGCAGCTCCTTCGGTGAAGTCCTCGTACAAATGGCCAACGTCAGCGTGTAGTCAAACTGATGGATCACCAAGTTCAAGTAGACCGTCTCCTCCCAATCCACATCCGGATCGCCGATCGGCAGCTTGCGGGAATCCTTTCGAAAGACTTCGATTTCCGTTTCGTACTTTGGCATCACCCGGGAAGACCCTTTGACGTGTTTCTTGCGAACGAAGAAGAGCAAATCGTCGCAATCGATGCTGTGCTGTTTCTCCGTTTGGAAGAGAAAGTGACGCACGAAAAGGTCCGTCCAGTAGGTGGTGCCTTGCAGCACGACGAAGCCACCATCTGCAAGAAAGAGCGAGAATTTTTCCGAGATAAGGTTAATGAGGAAGCTACGCACAATGAATGATGGGTATGGGGTGTAGCGGTTGGACGGTTGGTGGAGCTGATAACCCCGTGCATAATGTATCTACAGATTGTCACTACATTATACACAATTATGTTTTTGGATTGATTCGTCAAAACAGGTCAAAAGTATAAGTAACTGTTTTCATTCATAGCCAATATAGCTATAGTTATATATTAGGGTTGGTTATATGGAAAAACGCAGAACAAATTTTTTTGGTTCCATTTTAGGTCCCAAACAACTGCGCAAAATTTGGAGACGATTGCGTTTGAAATTTCTATGGAAATTAGTAGGGGAAAACCTAATGTTTTAAATTTTCATAACTACACACTAAGATTATTTTACCGAAATCTGTGAAATTTTACCGAAATCTAAACAGCTGTGATTTTTCACAGATTTCCTGTAATTTTTCACAGATATTCGGTGAAAAATTACAGGAAATCTGTGAAATATCACCGACCTGTTTACCGAACGCTCAGCTGTTGAGATTTCGGTAAAATTTAACAGATTTCGGTGAAATAATCTTAGTTTTTAGAGACCACAATTTTACTTATACCTCTCAACTAACCACGTATGAATATGATGAATATAGTTTAGGAAGTGCCTAACAACTTTGCCGGTAGATGTATGGTGCTAGAATGTCTCCCAAAAAAGTAAAAACTTTTCAAATAGGTATTTATGGTTTGAATCAAATGCAAAAAATCACTTTTTCTGCGAACACTACCGGTGTACCAATGGAAGTCAGATTCCAAACTGAAATAATTTCGGAGTTTCTTATCCTACCGATTTGGTATGTTTAGATGATTTATTGAAAAACAATTACTCAATCTCATAAGCGTAGTTAGAGAGAAAGGGGGTTTACTATAACCCCCACCCCTCATTCATATCAATGGAAGTAAAACTTCCAACTGAAATAACTGCGGTATTTCTCATCTTATTTATAAATATTTGCTCAATCTAATAGGTTTAGTTGGATAGAGGGGGGACTACTGTATCCTCTCCGCCCCTCTCTGTACAGTTACAGACAGTAAAATTACAGACTGGAATAACTTCGGAGTTTCCCATCTTCTCGAGTTAGTATGTTAAGATGGGTTATTCAAAAACATTTGCTCAATCTCATAGGAGCAGTTTGAAAGAGTGTACTCCCTCCCCCTTCCCTACTCTTACTCAAGTGTCATAAGATTGTAGTGATTACATTTCAGTTTAATATATTTTACGATTTCCAACGGTACTCTTTTCGATGCTGTTCCATCATCTGAAGCAAATATTGCTGTTGAACTCGGGTGGATTTCTTGTTGAAGTCGGAAGTAAGCTTCACCCCTCGTTCAGTTCATTGACAACCATCAAGGAAGCAACTCGTAGTTTCGCATGGAAATAAGTATGGATATCGTACATAATTTATTATCATTATTATAGGAAAGTAGAAACTCTCTCTTTTCCTTTAAATATGAACTGAAAACCAAACCAAGAAAAAATCATTATAATTATCAACACTCTTGGGTCATTCGTGACTTCCCGTGAATGAGAGTTGAACTTATGACTTTGGCGTGAGAGGTATGGATGGTATGGTGATATGGCATGCCATGCAACAAAGGCTATCCCCAGAATCATCTTCCTAAAATATTGTTTTTTTTTTGCTTTATTATAGAGATTTTCAGCCTTGGGCTGGTTCATCTCTTAAAAACGAGGGGTGGGGGCTTCAGACGGCAGTCTCCCTAAATACAGAGCTAATAGGAAGGGGAGGTGAGGTTTGTAACAAGTACGCTTTTCCATTTAATTATTTAGTTATTTCTTTGCACAGAATTCCTATTATACAATTTTCACATTTAAGTATATTGCATGAACGTTCGTTTTTTACAATTAAATTCATAAATGTATTCACAGCCAAGAAACGTACGCCCATATCTATTTATATATATAAAAATGAATTTCTGTCTGTCTGACCCTTATAGACTCGGAAACGACTGAACCGATTGGCGTGAAAATTTGTATACAGTGGTTTTTGGGGCCGTGGAAGGTTCTTATGATGGTTCGAGACCCCTCCCCCTTCTGTAAGGGGGGGCTCCCATACAAATGAAACAGAAATTTCTGCATAACTCGAGAACTAATCAAGCAAATGGAACCAAATTAGGCAAGTGGGGGCGAGTGTGGGGGTATAAGGAGATAATCATAGGGGGTAGCCCCTTAGATAATGGGGGGGGGGGGCTACGTACAATATAGCATGCTTTTTTTTTCAAATCGGCGCATAAACTCAAGCTAATATTGAATCCCGAGCAAGACCGGGCACACTCAGCTAGTATATATATATAGTTACACTTGTCATACAAAAACCAACAAGTTCCCGATACGTTCAGCTAATTCACTCCATTTGACCCGAATACGCTACCTGTTCGTCAAAGTCCGGGGTTGGAATCCGAACCGTTCTCTCTTATAAAAGAATAACCAATAACACTAGTTTACAAAACAACATAAAAAGTGTGAACTTTAGTGGTTGACCAACGTTTCTAATGCAAAATCTTACGCTGAATTCAATGCCGTGGTCAGAAAAAATTAAAGTAGAGCCATTTTTGAGATATACAAAAATTTTGATTTTTTGAATTTTGGACAAAAGTACGATTACTAAAATGTCAATATCTTTGGAACTAGTGCACCAATTTTAAATCTTTTTTATGAAAATGAAGCTTAATAAATTTGCTATCGTTCACTTGAATATTATGTCTTAATTGAAAATTTAATTTTGAAGTCATTTAAAAATTTACAGCATTTTTTTTTATTTTTCCAGCGAATTTTCCATAAAAATCTTGTTTTAATCAACATTTTTAATAGGATAAAAAGATTCAAAAAATCATTCCATAATTTATTCTTAAAGTCCATTAAAAACTGGAGAAAATGAGCCTTTAATGGATGAAATCGGTTGGAAATTGTCGAAGTTATGAAATTTTTTGTAAAATCATGGAAATTGAATGTTCCAAGATTGGCCGTTGTCCCGCTCCTAGGTTCATGCACCACTTCCAGTAAGCCTTTCTGCGGACGTGTACGCATACGGTGCATTTCACTAACACTACCAGCTGTCACGCAAAATTAAATGGGATATTTTCAACAATATAATTTACGCTAGTGTTTGTGAGACCGCTCGGCGAGAACCTAACGCAACCAACTCAATTTGACAGCTTTCTTTCTTTAACATTGCTTAACGATGTATACGACAAAACGTGAATTCAAGTGTAAAAATGATCCTCAAAAGTTTTGTTATGCGTGTGGCAACTATATATTTACAAAATCGGTCAATTTCACTGCTTCGTTGCAAACTGCATACAGGCTTTATTTTAAAATTGATCCTGGAGACTTTGACGAACCGTGGATTCCAAAAGTATTATGTAGTTCGTGCAAAACGTGCTTGGCTAGGTGGATGTCAGGCGCAAGGTAAATTGATTTTTTGAATAACTTTCATATAAACAATTTATGTACTGCATGGTAGTGCTTTGTTCTTTCCTGATCGACATTATCTTACTTCATCTATTTTTGATAAGTGTTAATGTCTTACTTACTAACTCACTTATTTGTTATCTGTCAGTCGCTATTTGTCCTTTGACATGCCCACCATATGGCGTCGACCGTTTTGTCATGCAACGGATTGTTATTTCTGCTTGACAAAAGTTAAGCAACAAGGACGTCACAAAACAGTTGAGTATCCACAAGTGGCTTCTATGACAAAACCTGTTCCACATTCAAGTTCGGTCCCGTATCCTGTTTATCCAAAGCGGAAACGAGCGCCCTCTGTTGAATCGACCGTTACAAAAAGTGAGGAGGAATTCAAGGAGGAATGCGAGGAAGACTTCGAGGTGGAATTGGAAAGAAACCCAAAACTGTTTACACAATCCGAATTTAATGATTTGGTGCGAGATCTCGACTTATCGAAGGAGAAATCCGAATTGCTGGCATCACGCTTGAAAGAACACAACATGCTGAGCAAGGAGGTCAAAATTTCTTGTCACAGGAATCGTCACAAGAAATTTGATAAATATTATTCTACAAAGGACAAGGCATGTTTTTGCCATGACGTAAACGGCTTGTTTGAAGAGTTTGGTGAGCCATCGATAGCAGCAAGTTGAGCTTGAAAGCCGTTTTACTGCATCAAGGGAATGAGAAACCTTCTATTCCATTAGCTCATGCCGTTAATATGAAGGAAACGTATGAATCAATGGCTCTATTGCTCAATTTGATAAATTACAATCAACACAATTGGAAAATTTGTTCCGATCTTAAAGTGGTTGCCATGTTGACTGGATTGCAACAGGGATACACAAAATATATGTGTTTTTTGTGTAAATGGGACAGTCGAGCTCGTAAGGAACACTACGTCCGAAAAGATTGGCCAAAACGGGATAATTTCACAATTGGTAAAGACAACGTTAAAAATGATCCTCTTGTGGTAAAAGAACGCATAATACTTCCACCACTACATATAAAACTTGGGCTATTCAAAAATTTCGTCAAAGCGTTGCAAAAAGAAGGGCCGGCATTCCAGTACTTGAAATCAGTATTTCCAAATTTATCTGACGCAAAGATAAAGGAAGGTGTATTTGTTGGCTCACAGGTCAAAAAACTGCTCAATGATTCCGCATTCAATACAGTTTTGACACCAGATGAGGAAGAAGCGTGGAAATTGTTCCAGCGTGTTGTCACAACCTTTTTAGGAAATTTCAGAAGCCCAGATTATGAGGAAGCCGTCGATGAATTGCTCAAAAATTATGAGAAAATAGGTATAAATCAAAAATATTGTGTTTGTTACATATAATTAATTTCAAATCCTTTTATTTCACTGAACACAGATGTGAATATGTCTTTGAAGATACATTTCCTACATTCTCACATGGATTTTTTCCCGGAAAATCTTGGTGACGAGAGTGATGAGCACGGCGAACGTTTTCACCAACAA